TGTTCATGACAACTAATTCAACTACAGATCATCGTCAATTTACAATCACTGACAGGTCATAAATCCAACTGGTCGTATATGGCTCCTAATTAATTTTGCAATCTATTTATCTTTCTTTAGGCATTATTGTATATTTTATAATCATTGAAGTTTCTTTACGCTTGATACCATTTGTATCATCTTTCTACAAATTGTTTTGTTCCTTATTTTTACATTCGTCAGCTTTAAGTCAAACATTGCATACTACAGTGCAGTTGGTTTAATGTTTATTAAACATACAAAACACAAAATACAGTTGAAAGAACAGAAAACATTTTAGCTGCAAAACATGCCAAAATACATACAAATACAAAACATCTTAGCCACTGATGCTTGGTTGTGGATTGCCGACGTTGTCAACTGGGGTAGGGCTTGGGGTAGCCGGTGGAGTTATTTTTTTTTTCACAAACCTAGTGAGCTTTCTCTAATATTGTTACTTTCCATTTCTCCTCATAAATTTCACGCCATGAACGAAATACATCGTACGCCATCCGTTCAGTCCTTGCAAATCGTTCAATGTTTCGGCCCATGCCTTCACAATGTACAAGAAGTTTATTCTGTAGAGATAAACCTTCAGTTAATTCCTTAATGGTCGTAAAGTCGAACAGTCATAAGTTCCATAGGTCGTAAGTCGACAATGACCTGTATGTACAATGAATGAGACGGCAAACGTCTGTAAATATGCTGCAATCACACATACACACACGCGCGCGTGCGCGCACACACACAGACGCACACATTCTCTCTTTCACACACGCACACACACACACACACACACACACACACACATATATATATATATATATATATATATATATATATGAATGAATGATTATTTATTATCTGCCATTATTTTAGTGGCATCTAAGTCTCTATTTAACCAGAATTTCATGAAAAATTAAAAATTTAATTTTAAGCTAAACAACATGAAAAATAATTTTGAAGCAATCTTCATTAAGAAACATATAAAATTTAAAAATATACATCATGAAAAAAATTGCGATATTTCAATTCAACTTCCTGAAAAAAATAGAATTTTAAAATTACACTTCATGAACTTTTTTTTAATTATACATTATGAATAATTTTAATTTTAAACTAAACGTTATAAAAAATAGTAAAACTATTCAAATGAATAACATAAGTAAAAATATATAAATTTTAAATCCGAAAGGAAAGCATCACGTCGGTAGAAATATTCAGCTGCTGTGGTAAAGTTTAATTCTGAAAATATCCCTGGCTTGGTAATGCGAAGCATTATTGCATCGAGTCACGCCAAACGTTTATTCAGCCGATATAAAAAGCATATGTTCAATTTGATTTTTAAAAAATGTGCATTAAATTACATAAATTACATATGTTATTTTAGGAATATTAGCATGTTTGTCTCTATTCATATCCCTCTGCATATTTCTTATTTTCTTTGATTTCTTTTCTTTCTTTTTTCTTTCTTTGTTTTCTTTCTTTCCGTAGGTTAACTTCCTGTGACACAAGAGAGGATTAAATTGCGAGATTAACTTACTGGCAATTACCTTACCAATGTTCATAAAGGATAGGAAGATTATATTGCGTCAATCTTCCAAATCGGAAGTATTTGTCTGATTGCGAAATTTGCCTGGTCTTAAAAACCGAGCAGCTTTTCTCATTCTCCTTTATTATCTAATCTTATCTAATCTTAGCTCAATACTGCACGGTAGGAAGATTGTGTCGCGCCAATCATACATGTAGTGAATTCTTTCACATTGGTGCCAATGGGAAACTCGCAGCTCACTCAGCAGTGCAGATCGTCTCATTCTATTTGCAACTATTTCATCATTCCTGCTCCAAGTGCAACGACTGATACTCTTCTGGGCGTTACCATTAAAATGCACTGATAAGTTGCACCTGTTCTTTTAATAACATTATGGTGGCGAAATATTTGAGCAAAAGATTTTGCTATCTACAAATGGACAGGTGTAACATGACTGAAGCCATCAATCAGGGAACAATTGATGTAATGTTCAAAATTGAGGAAGAAGAAAAGGTCCGGTGTCATAAAATATTATGGATTTATTTTTCTGGGTGTGTTTTGCAGTTTTAAGACTTTAATGTTTAATTCGGAATAACACAAATAATTTGAAATGCTTTTCGAGCAAACAAGTTGTTCTCATTTGGTTGACTGTATTTGCCCATGGAATCCATTACGTTTATGCATAATAACAAATATGCTTACATGGACGTAAGCTATGTATGATAGATAGATAGATAGATCTGAACAGTGTATGTGTGGACATCTTAATTAATCATCAACCGTGTTGTTGATACAGGTCAGTAAGCAACAACCGAACCTGTCCTGACTGCAACCTTTCTTGTCGCTTTCCTTCCTTCTTTTATCATCAATGTCTAGACAGTGATGTTGTGTACATGCAACGAGAGGGAAAACAAGTGTCTAATAAACGGATAAAACCACTAATTGATCGTAATTTATACTAATGAACAAAACCGCTCAGCCTGAGAAGTCGAACGCATTAACCGCGGAAGACACGTCACCACACCTTCATTCCTGTTTAGTGGCTAAAATCCTTATGTTTTCCCATGGAGCTAGCTAGAACGATCTAGATAGAAAGGGAAATCGATATTATCATATCCTATATGTATATATATATATATATATATATATATATATATATATATATATATATATATATATATATATATATATATATATTGAGACATGTTTCATTGAATAATTTAGACAAGTTTTGTCTACTTATTTTCATTTGGTTCCTTTCATATTCACGGACAAGCTTTTGGAGTTATGAAGAGAGAAACATTACCGTGTTGATACATATTATTTATTCAGAGTACTTTCGACATTATCACAATATCATCATCAGAGTATTGTTCATTTCAAGATAAATATTGCAATATTCATCATTTTCAAAGATAAAATCGGTGTTCATCTGAAATAACAACACTTGTCTATATTATTTAATGAAACATGTATCAATGAAAAAATGCTACCTAAATACACACATTTTAAATTACATAATCCAGCAACTCAAAAAACTATCAACACTTGGAATTATAAATGTAGCCTTGTGAAAAAGCAAATTGAAATAGCCAAGGAAAAATTGAACACCCTTAACAGCAACAAAAAGGACAACTACGATAAACTAAAGGATATAACTACTTTGGACCAGCTGGAGGAAATTACGCATAGATGCACGAGTTTGTCGTTGCTTGGAAATCTTCTATGTAAACAGAAACAGACTAAAATTTAAATGACAGCGCAGACTTTGTTTTTTTTTTTTTTAGGTGTGGTTAGCAGCCAGCCTAGGAGAAGGAAAACTTTGAATTAAAAATCATAACAATTCTCTATCATCCCCTACCCTCGCCGATAAGGATGGGAAGCTGAAACGTAGATAGATAGATAGATAGATAGATAGATAGATAGATAGATAGTAACAGACTGAGATAGATAGATAGATAGATAGATAGATAGATAGATAGATAGATAGATAGATAGATAGATAGATCGCAGAACGGACAGAAAATGTCTGTTAAGTCTTTTGTGAAAGAACTTGCGGAAATAGTGTGCGGAATAGTACTTTCCCCCATTGCTGGTCATTTTCAACGTAAGTAGACATGAGCGGAGGAACTGCCAGTGAAATATTGATGTGTTTGTAAAAAACCGATTCCGTTGTCTGCGACTCTTACAGTTAGACAACGAATTTATTATAATAAAAATTTCATTTTGGGCTAAGAAATGAGAGTTGGTCTCACAAAGAGAAAAACTTGAAATCGTTAAGAAAGAAAACAATAATCTTAGATGCCAGTGTCAATTTTAGCTGAACAGTTTGGAAGCCGATGTATTTGTATAAAGCTGTCTACATTGGAATGACTGTTTAGCTGTGAACAAATGATTATTCGATGATTATTTTATTTTTATTGAAATCATAAGAGCCTGAAAAATTCTTACTTAAAAAAGCATTTTAAATTTATTTCAACTGATAATGATTAGGCTTAAAATATGTTTATGTGAATGAGAGCGTATTGCAATTAGAATTATATTTCAATTGAATAATAGTCAGGAAAAGGTAAAGGCAGATTTGAATTAAGCAGATGGAAATCAAAAATATACTTTAAAAACATAAAAAGCATTTAAAAGATAAAATTTCATATTTAAGTAAAAATTATGGAATTAAAGTTGAAATTAGAATGTATTAAAATATTTCGAAAACAACAGAAAATGAATTGAAATTGGCAGGAATTGAAATTAGATATTGGCTGCATATAGAAATGAGTTGTCAATCGAAATGTATTGGAAGCAAAATATATTTAAACTAAAAACGAATGTAAAAAGCGTTAAATGAAAAAAAAAGCAGTTAAAGACGAAAAGACGATGTGGATGAAGAAATAAAAGTTTCAGTTTTCCTTTAAATAAAACAAATAAAATCGAGAGTAGAAGTGAAGAGAAAACAAATAAAAAAAAACTTTATATCAGTTGAAAATGGAATTTAAAAGATGATATAAAAGAAACAAGAAGTGAAATGCGATGAATGAAAGTGAAAGTAGAAATAAAAGCGTAAAAATAATAATGAAACTAATAATAAATGTGAAATGAAGGCCATGAATATATGAGACACGTTAAAAATACTCGAGAGGAATTTAAACAGAAAAGCTCGGCTGTAGCGAGAGAGAGATTTTGAAATAAACGAAGACGAATTCTAACTTTAAAGTGGAAACGGAAAGTGAAAGTAAATAGAAAAATGAAGGCGGAGAAATCAGCGGGAAATATGGCTAAGCATGATTGAATATGGGATGACTCTATGTCAATCGCCAAATGAACGACTTTGAGGGAGGGGACGGAATGATGAGATAACTTAATTGAAAGAAAAGGAAAGAAAGCAAATCGAATGATCGATCTCATTCGCAGTTGCTTTCATTTTTTGTCTCAAGCAAATGTTTTTAACAAATCGATGGATTTGCCAAAGAGGATTGAGGTCAAATCGATTTTTATTCTTTCTATCTACCTTCCCTCCTTCCTATTTAGTTTTATTTCTCTTCACTTTCTTTTCAGTCTCCTCATAAGTCATTATTTCTTCCTTCTCCATCTCTCTCTCCACCACTTTTTCTCTTTCCCTCACGTCACATTTTCATTCTTACCTTCCTTTCTGTTTCCTTCCCCTTCTTCTTTCTCTTGATCTCCATCCTTTCTTTTCAATATTCCTCTCTCTCCCCCCCCCTATCTCCCTCACTCGACTCACCTCCTTTTCTTCCTCTTTTATGTGTCTCATTTGCCTCTGTATGTCCTTTTCTCGCGGTCGATTTTACTAATTTCGTATGTAATTGTATTCAGCAAAAACTTCGGACAAAGTAAACAGAAACCGAGAAATCTCCTTCCACGTTTTCTGATATTCAAACTATCCATACTTTCTTTCCACACTTGCCAGTTAACGCAAACGTGTTTCAAATAGGCAAAATTCTTGCCGAGAAAACAAAATCTAAAATGGACGTTTATTTTCACTTTATCTGAATCACTTCTTTAACTGCTTTCCTTTTTTTGGTCTCTCATCTCTCTCTGTTTATAACTGCCTCTCTCTCTCTCTCTCTCCCTCTCACTCTCTCTTCACTTTCTTTTCAGTCTCCTCATAAGTCTTTATTTCTCCCTTCTCCATCTCTCTCTTCACCACTTTTTCTCTTCCCCTCACGTCTTATTTTCATTCTTACCTTCCTTTCTGATTATAACTCCCCCCCTCTCTCTCTCCTCACTTTCTCTCTCTCTCTCTCTCTCTCTCTCTTCACCTTTTCTCTTTTTCTTATTTTCATTCTCCTCCTTTCTGATTATAACGTCTTTATTTCTCTCTTCTCCATCTCTCTCTCCTCTCTCTCTCCACCCTTTTCTCTTTCCCTCACGTCTTATTTTAATTCTTACCTTCCTTTCTGTTTATCCCCTTCTTCTTTCTCTTGATCCCCTTTCTTTTCTCTCTCTCTCTCTCCCTCTCTCTCTCTCTTCACTTTCTCATTTTCAGTCTCCTCGATTTTACTAATTTCGTTTATTTCTCCTTCTTCCATCTCTCTCTCCACTGATATTCAAACTATTTTTCTTCCCCTCAGTTAACGTCTTATTTTCATTCTTGCCGAGAAAACCTTGGACCTTTCTGATTATAACTGCTTTTTTTCCTTTTTTGGTCTCTCCTCTCTCCCTCTCTCTCTCTCTCACTCTCTCTCTCTCTTCACTTTCTTTTCAGTCTCCTCATAAGTCTTTATTTCTCCCTTCTCCATCTCTCTCTCCACCACTTTTTCTTTCCCTCACGTCTTATTTTCATTCTTACCTTCCTTTCTGATTATAACTGCCCCCCCTCTCTCTCTCTCTCTCTCTCTCTCTCTCTCTTCACTTTCTTTTCAGTCTCCTCATACGTCTTTATTTCTCTCTTCTCCATCTCTCTCTCCACCACCTTTTCTCTTTCCCTCACGTCTTATTTTCATTCTTACCTTCCTTTCTGATTATAACTGCCCCCCTCTCTCTCTCTCTCTCTCTCCTCTCTCTCTCTCTTCACTTTCTTTTCAGTCTCCTCATAAGTCTTTATTTCTCCCTTCTCCATCTCTCTCTCCACCACTTTTTCTTTCCCTCACGTCTTATTTTCATTCTTACCTTCCTTTCTGATTATAACTGCCCCCCTCTCTCTCTCTCACTCTCTCTCTCTCTCTTCACTTTCTTTTCAGTCTCCTCATACGTCTTTATTTCTCCCTTCTCCATCTCTCTCTCCACCACTTTTCTTTCCCTCACGTCTTATTTTCATTCTTACCTTCCTTTCTGATTATAACTGCCCCCCTCTCTCTCTCTCTCTCTCTCTCTCTCTCTTCACTTTCTTTTTTTTCAGTCTCCTCCACCACTTTTCTTTCCCTCACGTCTTATTTTCATTCTTACCTTCCTTTCTTTAACTGCCCCTCTCTCTCTCTCTCTCTCTTTCTCTCTTCTCCAGTCTCCTCTAAGTCTCTCTTCACCATCCTTTCCTCTTTTCCCTCACGTCTTATTTTCATTCTTACCTTCCTTTCTGATTATAACTGCCCCCTCTCTCTCTCTCCTCCTCTCTCTCTCTCTCTCTCTCTCTCTTTTATTTCTCTCTCTCTCTCTTCACTTTCTTTCAGTCTCCTCATAAGTCTTTATTTCTCCCTTCTCCATCTCTCTCTTCACCACTTTTTTCTCTTTCCCTCACGTCATTTTCATTCTTACCTTCCTTTCTGATTATAACTGCCCCCCCTCTCTCTCTCTGCAACATTGTTATTTATTTCGTTACTGTTCAAAAAAGAATAAAAGAAATCAGCAATTTAAACTTTTCTAAAATATAAATAAAAATTCGTATTCGGATTTTTATTTTACATTTTAGAAAGACATCTACCGGGTGCGATGGGTAAATTATCGCCATTTTATATTTTTAATTTCGTGCATGCACCTTGTTTGTTTTTGATTCTGTCAACTGCACAGTATAGTAGGGTCAGTTGGGCACCGTCTATGAGAAAAAGAACACCATGATGCAATTCACTCTGCCAGAAATTTGAAAACGGCCTGCTGTACTGCTTGGCATTCGCAGTGGAAGCTCCACTACGAACATTTCAGAGTATTTAGGTGTCAGTCTGAGGACAGTGCAGAAGATTTGGAAAGAGTTGGATGAGTGATTACGAAAGTGTTTAGCGTGATCCCTAGTGATAATGACGTTATGCCTCCATTCATCTTCCCACAGGACCTCAGACTCAACACAGAAGCATACATCAAGTGCCTTGAGCAGGTATGTCTGGCAATAGGATTCTACATAATGCCACACAAGCAGGAGAATTTAGTCATAGCTGACAGACCACATCACCCTCTTACATCTAACCACCTAACTCCCTAGACTGCAACCCCCTTGATTATTATGTGTGGGGCGCAGTTGAGCAAGAGACCAACAAAACTCCTTGTAACACCAAAGATGAACTGAAGGCAAGGATTATGACAAGGATTCACCAACTTATTTACCTAACGAGTTCTTTCCTATTTTCTATATATTTTACACACACACACACACACACACACACACACACACACACACACACATATATATATATATATATATATATATATATATATATATATATATCTGCCTTCCTGTCGCTATTAATTAGTCTCATATTGGTCAGGACCATAAAGAATCTCTAGTGGTAGCTCAAATCCTTCCAACACCGACAGTCCGAACATTTTATTTTATAACCAAACGCTACCAATTTGTTATAAGATTGTCATCTAATAAACACTTTTTTTTTTTTTTGCATGAAGATTTCGGATAATTTAAGGCTACGGTTTCTTTTTTGTTTTTAAAGAGTATATTATTGCCTCTGATTATGATGTAAGCATCGATTTTCCATAAAGCCATAAGCATAATCCAATTTGACATTGAACAATTTTTCTTCCTTCTTTCCTTCCTTTCTTCCTTCCTGCGAACGCTTTCATATTTTTATTTTCATAAATTACCTATTTTCTTTATTCGTTCAGTACGGGATCCAGTATCCTTCAAGGCTAAAATGATTTTCATAATATTTTTTTTTTCAATCAGCCTCATCTTTCAAGGATATTTTGGCACATTTCAACATCCTTATTTCAGATAAAATGAGTTAAGTAAGAAAAACACTTGCAACTTGGTGAGCGGGCTTTCTTTAGACAGCAACTTTTTCTTTTACACTAAGAGCAGATTTTGGTGCAAAGCTGTGCCATAATTCCTTTAATAAAATAGTCAACAAAAAATTTATAATAAGAAAATATTGTGAAATATTTTGAAAAGAAATATCGATAATACTTTGATAATGGGATTGAGAGAAAAACTGATTCTGTCTTTACTGATTAATCGTGAGGGGATAATTCTATCTCAGCTGAAAATAATCACCATAAATAGAATTGTATATTTAATGTATTGAACTAAGTTACACATCGACAATGAATTGGAAATCTTTTACTTTTAAAACAACATCCAATGGAAGATCCGCCTTCAGTTCTGTGTACGGCCCCCTTGCTAGCACGAAGTCATTAGTCATCATGACTGAGGGTTTGAGCGTACGGTCCTTGTTCAAACTGTTGGTCCTGAGAGATTATACGCTTTCTCCCAGTGACTGTAACTAACGTCTGCTCATCATGGTTGCAATATAAATATCTTGATTGACTCTTTGGGGATTGACCAACCATAAAGTTGCTTGAGCAGGCGTCTGCAACAAGGATTGACTTGCCGCTCCTAATCGGAAGTGATTATCTGACCAATATATATACAGTAGCGAGCATAAAGATCAGAACGATGTTAAGAAAAAGTCTAAATGTGAAATAACATTTTATTTTAAAGCTTCATAGAACATTTTATCAAGGAAAAATAAGAATATAAAGGTAAATTATATAATTCCAAAATATAAAGATCAATAAACTTATTTTGATAAAGTTAGAATAATTATATAACATTCGAAAAAATGGATGATCAAAAACATCAGAACGATTAACAAAATCATACTATTATAATGGGTACATCATATCCAAATGAAAATAGCGTTCATAATTCATTAGTGCTTGATGTGTAGAACTTGCAATAACAGCTTCACATCTTTTGCTACATGAGCGAATTAATGTAATGAAGATAAACCTTCGATTGGGGATATTTCAAAGACTTTGGGGAAATCTAAGTCTTATTCATAGTATTTTAAGAAAACTTGAGGAAACTGGGTCATGTGAAGCCAAGAAACCACCTGGCAGGCCTAGGAAAACTACTGCAAGGGAAGACAGATGGATTGGTAATGAATCAAAAAAGGGTCCATTTGTGACAGCAACCGCTATCTCTAAAAGAGCTAATGCTAAACTTGGCATTAAAATATCAAGGCACACTATTTCCCGAAGACTTAATGAAATTAATTTTAACAGTTGAGTAACCTCTACGAAGCCTTACATTTCTAAAAAGAATCAAATGTGCCGATTGAAATTTGCCACTGAACACGTCATATAGACAGAAGAACAGTGGGATTGTGTTCATTTCAGCGATGAGTCAAAGTTTAACATGTTCGGTTGTGAAGGGAGAAGGTTCGTTCAACGCAGTCCTAAGGAACGATATTCACCTCAGGGCACTAAAAACAGGATTAAATTTCGAGGAGGAAATGTGATGGTGTTTGGCATGATTTCAGCAGCTGGTACGGGACCTCTTGTTAGGCTATAACGCGCCGTGTCACACAGAGAAGTCTGTTATTTCTTTCTGAGTATGATGTTACTGTTACGGAGTGGCCTGCTCAAAGCCCAGACATGAATCATATTGAGAATGTTTTGAAGTTACTAAATGAAAGAGCTAAGGAAAAGAATTCAACAAACATCGAAGAACTATGGACTAATTTGAAAGGAGAATAGGAGAAAATATCTGTTAATGAATGCAAGACATTAATTCGCTCATGTAGCAAAAGATGTGAAGCTGTTATTGCAAGTTCTACACATCAAGCACTAATGAATTATGAACGCTATTTTCATTTGGATATGATGTACCCATTATAATAGTATGATTTTGTTAATCGTTCTGATGTTTTTGATCAGCTATTTTTTCGAATGTTATATAATTATTCTTATAACTTTATCAAAATAAGTTTATTGATCTTTATATTTTGGAATTATATAATTTACCTTTATATTCTTATTTTTCATTGATAAAATGTTCTTTGAAGCTTTAAAATAAAAAGTTATTTCATATTTCGACTTTTTCTTAACATCGTTCTGATCTTTATACGCGCTACTGTTTATATATATATATATATATATATATATATATATATATATGTATGTGTGTGTGTGTGTGTGTGTGTGTGTGTGTGTGTGTGTGTGTGTGTGTGTGTGTGTGTGTGATCTCTTACAACTCTTCTGGATGGTCTCCATGTTTAAGTTGGGGAATGCTAACATAATACTTACCTTGAGTTCATCTTTGGTGTTGTTACTACGAGTTTCTCGCTCAACTGTGCTCCACACTTTTGAAGTGGGTTGCAGTCTGGGGTGTTAGGTGGCCGGATGTAAACGGGAGATGTGATAACTGAAATTGTCTGATATCCATGACTGGGTTCTCCTGCTTGTTTGGCATGGTGCAGAATCCTGTTGCCAGTCATAGCGTCTTCTCTTAACCCAGGTTGCACTACCTCCTTAAGGCACTTGATGTAGCCTCCCCCGTATTGAGTCTGAGGTCCTCACCAACAATTTCGGGAGTTCTTTTCTTATCAAAACGACCAGAATGAGTTTTCCGAGCTGACCTTCGAAATCACCATTAGACTCATTCAGGCCTTTCCGAATCGTCTATACTCTCCTCAGATTGACACCCAAACTCTCTGAAATGTTCGTATTGAAACTCTCGGTACGAATGCCAAGCAGTACTGCATGCCGTTTCCAAATTCCCGACAGAGTGATTTGTGTCATGGTGCTCTTTCTATCACAATCGGCGCCCAACTGACCCTACTGTACTGCGCAGTCGACAATATCAAAACCAAACAAGGTGCATGTGCGAAATTAAAAATATAAAATGCCGACAATTTACCCATCGCACCCTGTCTAAAGAATTTCCAGGTAATTGAGTGGAAGACCCAACAATGTACCCTTGTTAATATCACGACATCCTACACAGTGCTGCACCTGTGGATATCAGCTGTCAACAAGATAGCATGCAGTTGGGTGGTGATTCATTTCTCGCACTAAATCAATGATTTTTCCTCCCATTTTAACATATCGAACATCCAACCACTTCAGATGGTTATAATAAAAACAGGTTTTAAGCCTTTCTTTCCCATTTCTGCGTTTTGTCTTCTATTTCATTTCTCTCTCTCTCTCTCTCTCTCTCTCTCTCTCTCAACATTTATTTCTTTGTTGCCTTATTATAAATTCAACAAATGAAGTTTATAAAATTCAAGTGATTATGACAGTCAATATATGATCCTAATATGCGCGTCTTGTGGCATGTTGCATAATGCCTCTTATACACATGTGCGTCCATTCTACGATTTTATAGAAATATATGCATAAATATAATAAATGTATATATAAAGAGCGGCGTCAATACGCGAGATTCATTTTCTGCCTTCCATCACTGAGCAGAGGGCGTGTTTATTTTGTTGGGTTTTATATTCAACTATCCAAAGTAACAGTCAGCAGTTTAGTCAGAATGGCCGTCACTTCGGAATTTATTCTAAATCACTCTCATCATTTCAACTAGAGAAAGTGATCCTGAATCAAAATGACTGCTATTCTCAAATATCTAAATAATTTAACAAGTTCAGTGTCTATTTTAAAGTTTTAGCTTTCCAAAGAATCCCAGAATGTAGACAAATAAATTCTGATTAGCACACAGTCACCCCATGGATCTTGAAAATAACTGAGACGATCCAAAGTACTTGAACAATCAACAACATAAATGTGAACTTCGGACAGTTTATCCAAAATTTGGATCCCAATGCACAACAACATATTAAAAAATGGTCGGGTGTTTTTTAAACAAACTTATTTGAATGAATACTTCTGCCTAAATATACCTTATTCATTTCATATTTATTTATATATACGTATATATAATAATTACATAATATTTATTTTACATAGTCCGGACGTCAGTGGAAATCAAAAGTTTGGCTACAAATTCGAGATACAAAAGTATTCAATACTAGAATGCAACCACAATTATTATATTATTCTTATTATGCAATCATTGAAGTAGTTTAAGGTTTGCCTTTATTTATTTAATCATTCATTCCTGAAATATTACGGGCTCTATAAAACATTTGTTAAATATAAAGTGGTGTAAATAATTCTAAGACGTTATACAAATACTGCGGGTAAATGTCAAATCAAGAGCTTATGTCTTTATAGAGAGAAAAATGCAAGCAAAATTCGATTTTAAAATCAATTTTTACAGATTTTGTCTCATGAAATAGAACAATAGTTATGAAAATAGTCTTCCAGGCATTTGTTAGTGAGTCTGAGCGAATCTGGACGTTCCACTATTGTTGACCTTGTGTCAAACTATGTAACACTAAGCTAATAGCTATACTTTTCGTAATTCATATAAAGCACACATTTCAATTTAATGTCACTCTGCCGCTGTTAAGCGGGCTGAAAAAAACCTTAGTTCATCGCCTCTGGCAACGAGTTTCGACCGACTGCAGGCAAAGTCTCCACTGAACTACTGGCAGGATAACTAGTACGGTGATGACACAGGGTGACTGGGTGAAGGTCTTCTAACACTGAAGTCAATGGGGCCAGGGCAGAGGATTCCTCGATAGAATGAAGAGTCACGTGTCCGTGACCAAGGCAAGCTTTCAAGTTGAAGGACATCAGCTATCGGTTGACCTGGAGTGGGATGGGCTCAGCATGGTTTACCATCCCAAGACACGCTACACACGCTACACACCTTTCCGTCTTTCGACCCAAATATATTGAAAGAACTGGTCAGGTGTTCCAGTTGTGCAACGACCCTACGACCATACCGAGTCTTTGGACTAATGAGGCCTTATCGTTGCACAGCTGGTAGGGATCTAGTTTAATAGTTCATGTTTTCACATCGGCACCATACGAGTGATCTTTATACTAGACTAAATTGTAACAAATGTTTATTATAATATCGGTACATTCTACAGTACATTGGTTAGTCAGCTAACTCTCACAACCCATTGTGACTTTGATTCTAAGAAGTTTGTTAACGTGAATTCTATCTTTTTTTACATTTTCATCTTAAATAGTCACAAATACCAACAATCTTTGGATTAACCGAAATATTGCCATCTGAAAAAAGAAGAAATCTACAGTCGAAGATGTTTGCTTGGCTAATAGTGAATCTGATGTGTCATCACGACTGTGACTGAACAACGTGACTGGTGTTATTGCTATCGTTGAGATGGTGGCTTGCATTCATTTCTGGATTCTTCTACGATTAGACTTTGAACCAAAGCTACAAGGGTCACGTCGACCGAACGACGATTTGGAACAGGATATGTGTCTACCCTTCACAAAATTAAATGTGTTTGGGAACTCGGTTTCTCAAGGGATAAGATCGATATTTCGTTTCACGTGGGCGTTGATGTTAGCTGTTTGTCTGTTCAAGTTCCTAGGTGTATGTTTGTGTATCTATATGTGCATATATTATTCATGTCTATATCTGTTTGCTATAGTACTAAAGTCTTTGTTTATCTTTGCATGTGCGCACGCACGCGCGTGTGTTTACCTTGTTTAGCCATGCTGTAAAATATGATGGCATATATGAGGGGGTTTCATTATTGTACACTTTTGTTGTTCTTTTGTGTCAATTTGTTAACCTATCCACTGCAAAAACATCTTCGAACAGTCTGACATTGTGTCATCAATCTTGCGCTGAGACTACCAATGCTAGGTGCATAATTTCAGTACAACAATTAGTTACAAATAAAAACAGCGTATAATGTAGTAAGATATATATATATATTTTCTGAAGATTCGGAAATTATATATAGCTGAGTTAGAGGTCAAAGCGAGGCCATGTAAAAAATGGTGACTGTATTATTATGAACTCATTAATGTCTCCTAAAATGGACGTGAAAAAAAACATTTACTTGATGAAGTTCTTCCAACCACAACTGGTCAGGTTAACGCAAGGCATTAACACATGTGATTTTTGTTTTGTTTTTTAGATCAGTGGTTTTCAACCTTTTTTACCCATGGACCACTTTTAGTCTTAAGTCTTCTTTTGGTGGACCCCCATAACCATTCAATGAAAAAAAAAGCTCATTTTATTTTTTACTAATAGATATCTCTCACGAGTGAGACCCCCCACAGAGACGAACATGACTAAAGACTGTGTGTACACTATCCCGTGCAGCTGCGGAAAGGAATATAAAGGAGAGACAGGCCGCCCCCTTAAGGTAGGGCTTCAAGAACACCAGAAAGCTGTAACACGAGGGGAAGTAGAAAAATCAGGCGTGGCTGACCACATATGGAGAGAGATCACCGCCTTCTGTGGGATCATGTTTAGACCATTGACAAGGAACACCATTGAAAAATTCGTAAACTTAAGGAATCAGCACATATTCTAGGCCACAAAAATCTCCTAAGCCGACCAAACACAGAAATAAATACAATATGGGAACCAGTAATAAGGAGTGCCAGAGAAAAGCAGTGATAACAACATAATTGCAATATGAGCTCTGGTAAAAACATGAAATGATAACAGTAAAATTGCAATATGAGCACTGGTAAAAATGGTTGCTGAAGACATTAGGTTTATAATACCCAGAAATTCATACCCAGATGTCCTCCAGGACACATGGATAAAGGCGTTGGTTAGATCCAGTGACAGGGCCCAAAGAGTGTGAGTTGAATACCCGGTTAAGGCAGTGGAGAACTTTCAGAGGGAAATTAACAGGAGATAACTAATAACTGACATCCATCAAACATGGCACATGGAACTAGAACAATCTACCCCAGTGAGCGAAATAAAGGGTTCAGTTCGACATTCCAACCACCTGAAGAAGGCCGGAGCGTACAACGGCCGAAATGTTGTGATAAATATGGCGACAAAGATGATGACAATAGTCCGAATAATGTAAATAATAGATAACTTTAGGAACTTTAGTATAGAAATAGTAAATGTATATACTTTATTTTGGAGTAAAACTAATTTAATGAAAATAAACTTGTATTTAACAACTAAATTCTATATAAAAATATTAAAATATTACCGTGCATCATCAATTTGCTCTTTTTTTTGTGTAGACTCTAGTAATGTTACATGGATACCCCTCAGGGTCCATATGGATCCCGGTTGAGAACCTTTGTGTTAGATGTTTGTCCAGTATTCCAGATGAAAGAAATACGATTTATAAAGAATGTCGGATTCGGTATATAGCTGAAAGAGGCCTAACAGTTTTGTTAAAAGCAACCAAGATAGTCCACAAAATATATGAATCTAATCTAGATCTTCGAATATGTAGAACCGAGTGCGCGTATCACGAAGTCTTAATCTTTAATCTGGGACTAGCAAACCTGGGAAAGCCCATGCCTATCTAAGTCAAACCACAGCCTATGTTTTTCGACTTGAAAGCTCACCTTGGTCACGGCCACCTGTTCATTAATTTAAACGGGGAAACCCTCCGCTCTGGCCGTTGGCAGTCTAGGAAGCCAATCGTCCAGCGATGCCGTGCCATGACTGCTTTGGCTATCTATATAACTATGGAGCCCAGCCTACCGCATTCTGCTAGATGGCTGTTGAGCCGATAAGAATTGCTCATTCGCCTTTTGACAAGTTTTGTTTTTAATCCTACTGACTATCTAAGACACCCAACATTAAGCTTGATGGAGGAACTGGTTTATTTGGTGATGAGCGAACATATGGCAGGTTGCATTTGGTTACATGGTACCGTAGGGTGACCTGACGTAAATTATATATATTTATTTTTTTATACTGGTTAAACAAAAGAAAAAAGCTTCGGCTAAGTTAATGTGATGGACCCAAAGTAAAACTCTAGAAATAGACTTTGAAATTGAAAAGCGAAATAAAAACCCAAAAAGTTATGGATTTTCAAAAAAATTCCGATGTTAGATCCAAAGAATATTTGGTGACCATAACTCTAGATAATCTTGTTTTGTCCGATGACAGACAGGCAGATAAAAAAGGCATTTGGCAAATTATGAAAATTTTTTAAAGCAAAACAAAAAGCAAAATACACATGCAGTAGAGCACATTTTCTGCAGTACAAATATCATTTGAAGGTATGCTATATTTATGCATAAAATTGGTCAATATCAGAGTAGATATATAAAAGTGGACACTGAGATCAAAACCGAGCGGCGACTGTCTGTGTCGTACTTGAACGCAATCTTTCTTCAGGCCACATATATATATATATATATATATATATATATATATATATATATATATATATATATATAAGTGAACAGTGAAGTCAACACCCAATGACCTGACTAAGTGGACAGTGAAGTCAACACCCAATGACCTGACTAAGTGGACAGTGAAGTCAACACCCAATGACCTGACTAAGTGAACAGTGAAGTCAACACCCAATGACCTGACGTTTAGCATGAAACAAACTGTCGCTTCTGGGTGTTGACTTCGGTGTTCAATGTCTACATTTATATTTACATACGCTCTATTCCTGATATTGAGCAATTTAACCCATAAATACCTTCCAACTATATTTTTATCATATTTTATATATATATATATATATATATATATATATATATATATATATATATATATATGTGTGTGTGTGTGTGTGTGTGTGTGTGTGTGTATATATATATATATATCATAGATTCTCTTTTTACTACCTGAGCACCTTGTATTTATTATCTAAGTCGGAAATTCCCGCATTTATTTGAATGTTTCAAGGCAGAAAGCTAACAATAATTACAGCGTTTTGTTTTTCATCGAAATTCCTGTGCAAGAAGGTTCTTTCAAATCAGTTGATGGGAATAAAAATTGCTTGAACGGAAACTTTTTTCTCTTAACCTATCTATTGGCTACTTGTAAAATCTATGTTAAGAACACAAATCAGTGAATCAGGAGTAGCCTTATGCTTGTTTGGTTTGAGTTCTTCTCAGGGGATATTAAGGAATCACGTCGACTGAATTAATTTGACCACAAAATAGGCGCTCATTGATGTACAGTAAAAAGAATTCGATAAATAGATGAGAAAATATGTATTCATACATATTTAACAGATTAAGATATATATATATATATATATATATATATATATATATATATATATATATATAGTGAGAGAGAGATCAATAGGCTTTTAGGTAAAAGTGAAAACAGGATAAATGAAAAGATGGAGATACACAGAGAAAAAGATTGACAGAAAAATGAATGGCTGCGTACGAAAGTAGAAAGGAAAAAGGTAAGTGATTGGATGGGGATGCATTGCCCCTTTGATGCGTGGGTGGATTTCATATGCAACGCGGATTATTTACTCATTTTCTCTTATTAAAGAAGCATTCGAAATTTTTCCATAACGATTATTGAATTTGGATTTCTACCAAATGAAACCCATTTTGTTTTGTCTATCCAGATGCTCAATATATTCAAATATGCAATCCTTCACCTATGTCGACCAGACATGACTTTGGATGACCTTGTGATGTTAGCTTTTGGGGTTCGAGCGCAGGTATAGCTGATTTCTGAAAGCTGATTTTCACGGTAAAGTTAAAAAAAATTCCATCGATCTGAAGATCATCGCAACGCAATCAACCCAATTTGCATTTTTTTTCCAATTTGGTTTATCATCAAATCAAGCTTAGCTGAGTAAATTGAATATCGTCTTTTAGGGCTTCATCAAACTAAAGTGATGCTTACGTTGATGTGACTACACATGCGCACTAGGGGGAGGGACATCAATATCACTTCAGTCCAAAGAAGTCCTAAAGAGCGAAACGCGTCACACGAAAAAAAAATCTTCCACTCTGTCATAAATTTTCTTGAAATTGTTCTGATATATAAAAAATTATATATCTTTTCTTCATATATATATACATGTATATATATGTATGTGTGTGTGTGTACATACATAAATGGTGATGTGGTGCAACACTTCTACCGAAATGGTTTCCTTAAAATGTTATGATTTTTGCAGCACTCAGCCACCATTCCTTTTTATTAGAAAATATTCACCTGAAGATAATGAAGATGACATTGACCAATTCATTTGAGAAAGATTCGTTGCCATTTTTGTTCACAAACAAACGAAGTGAAATGCTTTTATTAAAATTATCTTCAATTCATTACGAAATGTAAAATCTGTGACAGATGAGTATAAAAAACACTATTTACAGCCAATTTATTTAAATAAGGCAACAACGATTGTTTGCTCCACATGACAATAATTCTAAGTAAAATAATGCGCTAAAATAAGTAACGAAGTCTTCGTTTTAAGTTTTGTTAATATCGGTACTAATTATAGATTATCAACTGTCTCAAATATGAAGACATTTAGTTCTATACTATAACCACTCAGCTCTATCCTTTTCAACCCTGAAGATGATGTCTTGCTCATTTGCCTCTTGTTACTCAAAGTCCAAAATGACGCATGTGAACCTATAATGACAAAAGTTTGTGGGAAAATATAGCTTTTCAACATTAAAATCAACATCATGGCAAACTGAGATACAAGTAAACGCTGTCGACCGCACCTTTCTTAATAAATGCATACATAGTGTGCAATAGTCTTGCTACTACTGTAAACTCTGGTTCTTGCGTGAAATTCGACGCCAGACAGTTTGTTGTCTGGATGACCAATTGGGAATTACAAATGTTGAGAATAATATTTTCACCTCTTCTTGTAGAACAAACAAATCATCAGGAAAAGAAAAATACAGGATAAAAATGAAAATAGTGTGTTTATAAATGGCCATCTTTAGAGGAGACAAGTGGCTGAAGAAACTGAAGCAGTTTTTAGAACATTTCTTTTCTACACACCGGATATAAATATCGACTTGTGTCATGACTACTTGTTTATATACATACATACATACATACATAATATATATATATATATATATATATATATATGTGTGTGTGTGTGTGTGTGTGTGTGTGTGTGTGTGTATTCGTCTCACTTTTCTCTTTTTCTCTTTCTTTTCTATTTCTCTCTCCCCTTCTTTTCCTTTCTCTCTCTCTCTCTCTCCCTTTTTCCACATTTACTCTTACTTTCTGTTTTTCTCTCTATCCTTATCTTTCTTTCTTCTCATTCTCTTAGTTCTTGCCTTCTTTCTCCCTTCATCTCTTTTTATTTAAATTCGTCTTCTAATTTCTCACTTCTTTCTTTCTTCTCTTTCTATAATTTCATTTTGTCTCCCTTTTCTTTCTTTATTTCTTTCATTCGCTCTCTCTCTCTCTCTTTCATTTTTCGCTGTCTCTTTATTTTCCTTCCTTTCTCTTTCCTTTTTCAGTATGTCTTTTTTTGCATTCACTCTATCTCACTTTTCTTTCTCTCTACCCTTTTCTCTTTTCTTTTGCCTTCTCTTTTTTATTGTCCCCCGTCTCCATCTCCATGTTCTTTTATTGAATCTCCTTATTTAACCTCATTTTCATCTCTTCATTTCTGTCTTTCTTTTGAAAGAATTGTATATATATATATATATATATATATATATATATATATATATATATATATATATATATATTCTTTCTTTTGCTTTTTTTCTCATTATCTCTTTGTTGTTTCTTTAATTTTATCACTTGTACTTTATCTCTCTTCTCTCTCTCCCCTATCTCTTTCCTTATTTTTTTTCATTTTCTTTCCAGTTTTCTCCCTATTTCCATCGCTGTTTTGTTCTTCATATCTTTCTTTTTTGTCTCTTGCTTTTTCCTTCTTCCTCTATTTCTTTCTCGCTTGATATCATTTCTATTTCTCTTATTTTGTATGTTTATTTCTCTCTCTCTCTCTCTCTCTCTCTCTTTCCCAAAAATTCCTTTTTGCTTCTCTCCTTTTCTCCATTTTTCTTTCTTTCTCTCCCTTTATCCATTTTTCTTTCTTTCTTTACTCCTCTTTTCCTCTCTATCTTTCTCTTTCTGTTTCTTATTGTTTTCTTCTGCCTCTCTCTCTCTCTCTCTCTCTCGTTCCCTTTCTTTATATTTGTCTCTGTTGCTTTTATCCTATACATTTAGCCCTATATATCTTTTGTTTCCGCTTTTTCATTCTTTTTTTATCTTTCTCATTTTCTCTTCCCCCCAATCTCCTGTGAATCATTAAACCCCCCTCCCCCTCTCTCTCTCTCATCTGTTTTTATTCTCTGTCTCTCTCTTTTTACCTGTCTAGAAAATTTATTTATCTCACCCTGAAATTATGTTTTGACAGCGAGTGATCATTTTTACCCAAAGGTTACTCAATGTGACCTCTAACGACTCGTAACGAGAAAAGGAGACTGGTGGACCATGCCACTATGTCAAAAGAAAGAAAGAAAGAAAGAAAGAAAGAAAGAAGAAATATGAATAGTCAGCAGAAAAGAAAGGAAGGGAGATAACATATCGAGAAAAAACAATCCCAAAAAAATAACTCAAAAAATCACCAAAAAAGAGAAAAAATTTAACAGAGAAAGAAAGCATATAGAAAAAAATCGTTAACAATCCATGAAAGTTGCTGCCAAATGACAAAATTTAAATATGTTGAACAGTTTTGTTCCTTGCTCTTTCTTTCTCGCCTTTTCATTTTTTCTTTCTTCTTTCCTTTTGGTTTCTCTTCTGTTTGATTGACTGGTAGTTAGTTGGAAACCTCCAAGCAGGTTGAGAAATAAATTCTTCCTTGACAAGAATGCTTCAGCCCAAGTGCATGCCAAAGAATAATGTCATGTATTGTCTTGCAGACTGATGTCAAAATTCAAGGGGTATACTAGCCTTAAGCCTTACGTAATTAATCTCCGCAAATAATTTAAAATATCACTCCAAATTGATGATTGTAAAATAGATCGACATTGCATAAATCTCTGTAGATATCTACTGCATTTGATGCCATATACTACATCTATTTAAATTTAATATTATGATTTGCAGACGTTAATGAAGAGACGAGGATTGATTATTCAGACGATAAAACATTAATCTACCAAATAACAAAATTTTCTATATAATATTGGAAATCATTTTGTGCGACAGGAAATAAATTCAAATATGATACCTTTAATCACTTCAATCAAATTTAATGTCATGACCCTTAAGAATAGATCAGCTTGCTTTTCTTTGATAATGGCAAAATAGAGAAACTTTTCTGACTGCCATCAGCATGGCTGAGGCTAGATTCCTGGAGAGCAACACACTGGGCCTCTTGGCCTTACGTTTTCCACGGCCCTGAGGTGGAACGACTATAACGAATCAATTCCTGCATCTAAAGAAAGTCGGGTCACTGTATCGTGCAAGAAAATGTATCTAGCCAAAATCTGTCTTGCACATTTACAAATCTAACATTCGTTCGGGCATTGAATACTGCTGCCATATCCAGTCTGACGCTTCTGCTGTGCATCTAGAGACTCTTGAAAAAAAAAAATCAAAATTTGGATCTGTAATGTAATCAATCCTGATCAGGAATTTCGATTTCAATCACAGTTTCGCCAAAACGACGTGGCTTCCCTCTGTCTTTTCTACAAATATTTTCATGCCAACTGCTCTCACAAGCTTTTTTTTCCCTGGTGCCCCGACTGCATGAATTTAGGCGTGCTACTAGACTGGCATTTAGGTTCAACCTGTTAATGTTAAAATAGCAAAATGCAACCGCCACTTCTACTCCAACAGTTTCTTTTCTTGCACTTCCCAACAGTTGAACTCTCTTCCGTTTACTTGCTTACTTGTTAACTACAATCTTCAAAGATTTAAATCTAATATCAATACAACTTTACTTCTGAAACTCATTCCTGTATCTTATCAAAAAAGTTGATTCATATAATCCATTTGTATCTGTTATTTGCCTATTATTCAGAATATCAATTTATTTTTTCGTTTTTTCTCAAGAGCTGTAATTTTTAGGCATATGTACTGATCTCTGATACATTATCCTTGGATGATCCGAGATGATTTGGAAGTGTCCCAGGTTGATTCGTTCTTCTCTAATTGTGTTTTAATGCATCAAAATCGATGATTGATAGTCGACCGCTATTGGCCTTCGTACAGCTTTTTGGCAGTCGAATCAGATACGTTTTTCATTTCTTTCCTCTCACCGAATTCTGTGTGTAACTTCAGCTGCTTTGAGTTTAAAATAATGCCTCCACATTTTCAGAATCTCAATACTTGTATCCAAAATTATAAAATTTTAAACCTATCCGAATAGTACTTATATATATATATATATATATATATATATATATATATATATATATATATATTGTTATAGATGCAATTCATTTAAGTAATTGTATCTAGAAAATAATGTATAAACAAAAAATATATTAAGTAATATCGAACCTAATCCATTTCATATATATATATATATATATATATATATATATATATATATATATATATATATATATATATATATATTATGAAAACGAGAACTGTAAGAAGTCATGGTGTTGGGGACTTGATTATAGTTAAATTTATTTTCTTGATCTAATTTCTTGATCCTAATGTTGAGAGTGTTGGGAATTTGGTTTATTATTAACTTCTTTTGGTTTAAGTGAACGTTGATGTAGGTGGGGGTTTGATTTTCTTTCTTGAAAGGTTTGAACGTACCATTTCAAAGATTAAAGGTAACATCTAGGAAGTTAACGATTTTTAGATTAGAGGATATATCAATCTTGAATCCTAGAAATTGGAAAGCTTTTATAATCTTTTTTGTAATTTAGAAGTTAGAGAACCATTACTGTTAGGAATAACAATGAGTCCATCTTCCCTTTAAAAACCTACATGGTTGTGCTCAGCAATCCTACTGAGAGTGTCTAATATATATATATATACATACTAAGTCAGCTATTTGAACAGATTCGTATGCTCCCTTAGGAACATCGAAGTTTTCATTATTCCGTTTAACCCAAGGTGAGTCATTATATATAAGGATCGATTGTCTGGATGCATCAATAATTTTTTGTTCATCAGTAATGTTAATGTAATTCTTATCAAATTTTAAGCTATTTAGTAATAGGTCTTTGGGAATGGAGGGGAAGAAGTCAATGATGTCGAATTGAATCAATGTAGCGTTTTTTTTTTTTTTTTTTTTTTATTGGCGATATTCCGGAACCTTTTAATAGTCTCCAAGGAATCTTTCCAAAGATTGACAGAGTAGTTCTCTTGCATAGCTAGTATTATTTTTTTTTAAGTATGTTATTCAAAATTAAGCCTGATTCAGATTTGGAGGGATTTATTAAGCAGGATTGTAGATTATTGACAAAACTGGGTTTATGGTCTTTAAATACTAGATAAGCATTTTTCATATGAGTTGTTCCTACTCTATAAGCAACATTATATTTATTGGCAAATTTGGCAGTGTCTCTATGGATTGGGAATAAGGTGTTATTGTTCTTGTCTTTTTCATAAGAATTAGTTATTTTGTTTAGGATGAGTTGGTGAGAATCAGAGGGTTTAATTTTGTAATTTTTTTTTAGATTTATCAGCTTATAATACATAATTTCTTAGAATTTTTGATGTTTGGTTGGATGTTTTCTTAAAAGTGATTTTTAAAATTAAGTTGGGTATATCAACCTCGAGGCGATCTAGAAGTTTATTATAAGGTGGAGTGTTTTGGAATTTCAAATTATAAGTTTCTCTTTGGCACTTCGGTTGACCTTGAAGGTTTAAGTAGAAGGAAGTTTTCCATCTCATTCTTTTGATGAGGTCAATGATTTTATTCGTAAGGGAAAGAGTGAAAGATTGTAATGAAGGTTAAGGGATGTTTTTCAGGCAGTAGCCTGGAGTAAATTTTTCCATTTCTTAGTGGAAATGTGAACCCTTGAAGTAATCCGACGGGAAGTATTCCAATGAGAGCTCAACTTATTGGTATAAAGGAGCCAATAGATAATGATATTATTTGGTCATTCGTACGGATGACTCCAAAGAGAATATAGATCCAGAGAGAGCTCAATGTAAAAACAATATATATATATATATATATATATATATATATATATATATATATATATATATATATATATATATATATATAGGGTGTTCCTACCAAAATTGGCATCATTTATATTGTGAATATTGTTTTCCTCTTTGGCACGAGTTAGGGCCTCATAGAGACTTTGCGGTATTATGGTGTCTGTAGTAAGAATGTTAAGTAAGAATGTGTAAGGAGTACTGTGGTATGTTTAGGCCAGACTAGTAATTGTGGCTAGCTACGTTAAAGACAGATTGAAAATCAGCTTCCTTTGTCCTAGGCAAACGAAATTAAATAGGCTTTATGTTGAACAATAAAAGATTTATTTTCCAATATTCAAACAAGATATTCAAAGTGTTGTAGACTTTATAACTGATTTCACAAAACTTCACAACTGTTCAATATATGCACCAACTGTGACACGACACACGTCAAGTCGGTAGTCCAGCTCCTGCCAAACACGCTGTAGCCTGCCTTCAGTAACCTACTCCAACGTCTCAATGGTTCTCTTCATATTTTCCTCCAGGCTTGTAGGAAAATGGGGGATATAGACCAGTCCTTTCAGAGAGCGCCATAGAAAAAATCACAATGTGTCAAGTCAGATGAACGTGGTGGCCATTTCAACACTACATTATCACTAGCACACCCGATCCATCTTCCTAATAGATTATCATTGAGATAAGCCCGAAATGAGGCGCTGGAGAATGTTACGCATGACACGCTACAACGTGTTTCACAGGCGCTGGACTACCGACTTGGCGCATTTCCCATTAAGTGAACATTTGTACTTTCTTATGCAATTACATATTGCGAGTGTAGGTAATTGTGGTGTACTGATAAAATTTCTGTTTCTATTATTTTGTAACATGATTTCAGAGCATCCATAACTATCCCTTACTTGATTGGGAATTACTTGCCGAAAATGTTTGATGAATTTTTTTATTTATATTCATTTTTTCATATGGGAAATATTTTAAGCGTCCCCATAACCAAAAAATGTTTGTTATGATTGGCATTGCTACTGTGATTGCAAGTAATATGGCATTCATTTTGAAAGAGAACGTAACCTTAGGGGAGAATTTCA